AACTCATCAATGCAAAAAGACCTGGGAGCCCACGGAAGACAACAGTGGTGGATGATGGCAGAATAATCTCTATGGTGAAGAGAAACCCCTTCACAACAGCCAACCAAGTGAACAACACTCTGCAGGAGGTAGAAGTATCAATATCCAAATCTACCATAAAGAGAAGACTGCATGAAAGTAAAGACAGAGGGTTCACTGCACGGTGCAAGACACTCATAAGCATCAAGAATAAAAAGGTTAGACTAGACTTTGCTAAAAAAAACATCTAAAAAGCCAGCAGAGTTCTGGAAGAATATTCTTTGGACAGAGTAGACCAAGATCAACCTCTACCAGAATGATGGAAAGAGAAAAGTCTGGTGAAGGCATGGTACAACTCATGATCCAAAGCACCACATCATGTGTAAAACACAGTAGAGCAGTGTGATGGCTTGGGCATGCATGGCTGCCTGTGGCACTGGGTCACCAGTGTTTATTGATGATGTGACACAGGACAGAAGCAGCCCAATGAATTCTGAGGTATTCAGAGCCATACTGTGTGCTCTGATCCAGACAAATGCAGCCAAACTGATTGGTCGTCGTTTCATACTACAGATGGACAATGACCCAGAACATAAAGCCAAAGCAACCCAGGAGTTTATTAAAGCAAAGAAGTGGAATATTCTTGAATGGCCAAGTCAGTCACCTGATCTCAACCCAATTGAGCATTTCACTTGTTAAAGACCAAACTTCAGACAGAAAGGCCCACAAACAAACAGCAACTGAAAACCTCTGCAGTGAAGGCCTGACAGAGCATTAAAAAGGAGGAAACAGAGCGTCTGGTGACGTCCATGAGTTCAAGACTTCAGGCAGTCATTGCCAACAAAGGGTTTTCAACCAAGTACTAGAAATGAACATTTTATTTAAAATTATTTATTCTGTCCAATTACTTTTGAGCCTCTGAAATGAAGAGATTGTGTTTAAAAGACGTTTTAGTTCCTCACATTTTTATGCAATCATTTTGTTCAACCCACTGAATTAAAGCTGAAAGTCTGAACTTCAACTGCATCTGAATTGTTTTGTTTAAAATTCATTGTGGTAACGTCTAGAACCAAAATTAGAAAAATGACGTCTCTGTCCAAATATGTATGGACCTAACTGTATGAGCTAGAATTTGGTGCAGTAGTTGAGTCATTTACAAGACTAATAAATAAAAAACAAAAACAAAACAGTAATTTCAAGTTTTGACGAAAACAAACACAGCTTTGTCATTTTGCAACATCTTAGTTTACAGTCTGATGTGATAGGAGGATGCAGTGTTCTTTAATCATAGATATGTGCACGGAGCAAATGTTTTATACTTTTCTAATCCATTTTCATTCGTTATTTTTTCACAATACTAATTTTGGGCCAAAGTTTCACACGACTTAAATCACTTTCATTTTTCAAGCAAGTCCTCCAAAATGAAGCTCTCAGATGCGCCTGTTGATCATTAGATCCGTCGACTGTTTCCCCCTGTTTGATTTTATGATCCTCTTGATCGGAGACTGCGTGGCTTCAGTCTCGAGCAGAAACGCTTTGCAATTCTTTGGAGGAGCATAATGAAAAAGCCTAACTGTGCGTGCTCTCGCTTATTTCCTCAGCTGATCATAAAAACGTGCATAATTTCTACCGCGTCTAATCCTGCGTGGTTTCCCACATGAGGTTTTAATGGTTCCTTACTCGGAGTTAGTGAGAATGAAATTTTTGGCAAACTGCCTCTCGAGGACAAATTTATCTGAGGTGGCAACATGTAGCTTAATTACAAATCATGCTTCTCATGACAGTGGAGTAGCAGCTGCCGGATGGTTGTTGCATATTGATGGAGTCGGCTCCCAGGAGGTGTTCAGGATGCAACCCAATCAGTGTGACACTCTAGATTTAACAAAGGCGGTCCTGGTTTTAAATAAAACCCATAGCTTTAGGTTAGCTGAAAGTGGATGGTTGTTTTTCCCAGACACAGCCAGGATGTGACTTCATGTTGCTTTCTCTCCAGGCTTGATTAGAGTCCATATCCGACTGTTACATTGCTTTGAACTCACAAAAAGCAATAATGATACCCTCTTAAACCCAACAAAGAGCATGTGAATTATGTGTGCAAGAGACTGGGTGTACTTCTGCAGCACTAGGGAGGATGCTTCACTGTCAGAGTTGAATTATCTTCTTCAGGTTTGTGTCTGGCAGAAAACCAGCGGGGGCCCAGAAGGCAGGAAGGAAAGCTGAACGGCTCTGCTTTGATATCTTTTACATTTAACCCTTATAGACACACACCTCAGAAGGAGTTTGGATTTAGTTTTATTCTTATATATTCTGACACACGTCTGTCTCGTGGCCTTCATCATGGACACGGGCTCAAAAGGAGCTGGCAGCTTATTAAGTTTTTATTGTGAATAGCCAATAAAAYCTTTATGATCCTATTTCAGCATTTCCCGGATCCGTTTTTTTTTTTTTTTCCTCGTGACTATTTTTAACAGCGGGAAAGCAGCTCCGCTTTCTTCCATTGTCAAGACCTTAATAAAAAATGCATCATGATCCTCTGCAAGTTTGGGGAGGAAGAGCACAATATCTGCAAACCACGAATAAAAAAGAAAAACAAAAAAAAGTTTAAATCCRTTAAAAAATAACAATTTCTTTACAGTGTGTCCACTAACTTTATGGTATGCCAAGTGTTTCACTGTCTCCTTTGAAAGCACAAAGCTGACTGGTAAATTTTATTGTGTTTTTTTTTTTTTTTT